CCCCCAAGATTAACCAGTTGTAGCAGTGATGCCGTTTCAGATTAAATCTTACCAGGAACCTTATTAAAACCAAACCACTGCTTGGGTTGAAGCAAGCCCCACCCTGGCTTTCCCTCAGCAGCCACTGACATTGCCAGGGACCCTGTGGCTCCCAAGAACCACGTGAAGACCACTCTGATTTGAGAGGCCACCATTATCAGTTACTAAATTCTTATACATACCTGGGTCTATTCCTGAACTTTTGGTTCCTGTATGTCAAGGTAACTACCCACGGTAGCTTTATAAAATACTTTGACATATGATATAGCCAAGTCTCCAGGCAGAACCATCAAAAAGGACTTCTTCCCGTCAGCCCTAGCGACCCAGAGAACCTGCCCACTCAGCCAGCTAAGCCCTAGCCAGGCAGAGTCCTCCCAGGCCTTGCAAAGCCCCACCCGCCTCTGCAGTTGGTGCATCTGGCCCCTCCCTAAGATGACCTGAACCCTTAACCTGAAGTACAACTTCTGATGCACTGACGCTGGCCTGCACCCACAACCTGTTCCTATAACTAAACGTTTGGACAGTAGCCCACCTTCAGTATACTAAGAAGGGTAGGAAGTGAGGAACATGAAGAAAGAGGAAGAATGGAAACATTTTGTTCCCTTTAAGATCTTGAGATTTTGAAGCTGTAACAGGGCACCTAGGGGGACAAGTGGCTGTCCTCCACTCACTGCTTTTGGCAGGAAAGTGGTTGGGCCCTGGCAGAGGGGCCCAGCCCTGTCCTCTTCTGCATCAAACAGAAGGGCCCTATGGTTGGTAAACAATAAGGCTCAAGAAAAGGCAGGTCTCTAAATTTGCAGCAAAAAATGTGAATGTGAAAGGAGGAAGCATGGAAAATAAACTTTTTTTAATTCCATTAGCTACTTCAGTTTTTTCTCTCCACTGCACAGCTCTTTCCAACACATGGTCATGTGGATTCTGGGTGCAATCAAAACAATCAGTGGCCTTTCACAACCATTCCTAACAGGCTGTTGGGGTGAGGCTGAATGAACTGTCTTCCTGTCCAGGTCAGTCTGCAGAAGCCCTGGCCACTATTGTCATTGCCTACTCTTTGGCCTATGGAGGCCATTGCAGGTGTTAAAGCACCTGCCCACCTGACAAACCGTGGAATTCTCTGGAAAACTAGGCACTGGCAACAGCTGCCAGATGAATAAATAAAGCCACAGCTCATTTTTAGTTTTGTAATTACACATCTAGGCCAGACTGGCATTCAGAATGTTACTATGCCAGGCCAGCCAACTGGCCTCAGGGGTTTGGGGAAAAGCAACCAACAGCCCAGAAGCCAGTCATGACGGGGTTTGGGGGGGAGAGGGGTGCTCCTCCCTAGCATCAATCCTCAGGGCTCACTGGCTGACATGGATTCCTTAAGGCCAGTGTTGAACTTTGTACCCCAGCAGGGCAATCTGTTCAGTGAGGGGCAGTGCCAACCCTCCTGTGAGAAATCACAGCAACCTCCATCTTCCTGGCTGTCTGTCCACAATGCCAGGCCTCAGCCAGTGCAGGAAACCCTGGAATTCCAGCTGTTGGACTGGAGTCTGTTGTATGGCACTGGCTATAGCTCCCACATTTTTAAAAATATATATCTTTATTGACTTCAGAGAGAGGAAAGGAGAGATGGAAACATCAGTGATGAGTCATTGATCAGTTGCCTCCTGCACGCCCCCTGCTGGAGATGGAGCCCAAAACCCGGGCATGTGCCCTGACCAGGAATCAAACCCTGATCACCTGGATCCTAGGTGGATGCTCGACCACTGAGCCATAGCCGGCCCGGCTAGCTCCCACATCTTAAGACACAGGGTGAACACGAATTCAAGGATAGCAGCTCTCATGACCACTGAGGAACTCACACAGGTACACTAGTGGCCTTGGAAGCTACGGAGCCCCTGCCTTAGGCAGACTCCCCAGAAGCCCAATGGCAGAGCCCAGCAAAGGGTTCATGGGCTGGGCAGGCCAGGGTTCTTCCCTCACCAGGCTCCACCCCTCACATGCAACAGCTGTACCCAAGATGGGAGACCAGCCAGGATTGTGCCTTTTCAAGTTTTTATTTTTGTACATTTTTTTGTATTAAAAAGAAAAGCATAATTACCACAAATTACAAAGGACTAAAGCAGACTAGAATAATGAATGAAATCACTTCAGCCTGGAAAGCAGATACTCTCAATAATATTAATGTTATAATACAAGCTCATTCAAGTATTTTACATTGTTTGTCCTTTTAAATGTGATATCCTAGCACATGGTAAAGATAATGTACTGAGCGTAAGGTGGAACCTTCTCCGCAAAGCCAGATAACAAGTTTTCCTCTCCAGCGAGTAATGGGCTGTAAGTTCCTATCTTCTCTGCCTCTGCCGGCAACATGGCTGAAGGAGAGTGGGGTTGGGGCAAGTCCAGGGACCCTCCACACAGGAGATACTTTGGGGTCCCACTCTGGAGGACACCAGATGATCCAGACTGCTCTACCCAGGCTTTTGGCAAAAACCACCCCAACCCTCCCTAGCTAGTTGTCTTCCTTACCCCTCCCTCCCCACTTCCAGGGCCTTCTGAGCAGCTTTCTTTTCTAAAATCAATCACCAGGAAAGGGGGGGGGAGGGGGGCTACAATTGAACAAAACAAAACAACTTTGACATAGGGGCTCAGCACCTCAATATGAGCCCCAGGGGTCCAGGATGGGGCAAGGCCTGGCAGCCCCTCTCTACTGGTGGTGCATCTGCTCCCAGGTTCAGGAGGTGAGAGAAACCTGTCCCTAGCAGGGCTGAGACACACAGCCCTTCTGGTGTTTGATGCCCAAAGGTTTTGTTGGCATGGACCAATCCTGGAGGGATGCAGGACGAGCAGAAGGATCTGGGCAGACTGTTGCTTTGTGTCTCAGACCCTGGATCCCCACGGGAGGATGGTGGGTATGGAGTGGCAAGCCCTGATGGCCCTGCCACTCCTGGCATGCTTGTCACAGATACATCGGTCCTAAATTCAAGTGTCTTCAGAAAGTGAAGATGTAAACTACTCTTTGCAACATCAACTCCTAACATGTTACAAAAAAAAAGGAAAAAAAAAGTCTCCTTTCTCCCCACCCTCAGCCTGTGTTGAGATGAAGTCCTCACCTCATCACCTCCAAGGGGCTTCCTTTCTGGGGTGTCTGTGGGGAGGGGTCAGGGAGAAGACAGCAGCCCCCTGACCTAGGAATAAACTAGATCAGAACCCACAGCCTCTCCCCACACCCCTAAGGCTTCCTTGTGCCCCAAACCCAGCAGAGGACAAACACTGAGGTTTCTGTGGTGCTGGATACAGTACAGGGCTAAGCGACCTGAAGCACAGGGGAGACAAAGCAAAAGGAGGCGGGCGCAGGAGTCCAGTGTCTGGTACAATGTGGGGCAGGCACCAGACCAGGCAGAGAAAGGCCTCAGATCCCACTGTCAGAGCAGAGATCAGACACTCATCCTTGGCTTTTGAGACAACTGGGTCACAGGACTGAGATGGGTTTCCCAACATACTCACCACTGGGAGGGCAGAGATGAGGGGGGACAGGCCAAAAGCAATGAGGTGCCCAAGATAGAGGCAAGCCCTTGCCAGCCTGGGATGCTGTCCCCTCCTCCCAACCTTTGGGCCCAACATGGGAGCAGTTGAAAAAGAGGGCCATGAAAGTGCCAGCGATCGAGCAACACCACCACAAACTTTCCAGTGCTGCCTGGTTCCCGCTGGGGGTGAACGTATTGCCATCCCACACCCAACACAGCCCAGTCTGCGTGGGTCAGTCCTTCATCACCCTCCCCAGCTTCAAATGCCTGTAGACTTCAGCCATTCCACTGTCACTCACAGCCCAACCCAAGCAGTCAGTGGCTGGAGAAGTCAGGTATACTCTATGTCCACATATACCTTCCTGCCGCGAGGCTTCTCCAACTGGCAGGGTTCTCCCCAGCCCTCAACTCCTCCACTCCTCATTCCTGGGCTTGCAGAGGGGGGTGCAAGATGGGGAGACCCCAGCAGACCCTAGCGGGGAGAAAGGCAACTTTCTCCACCTTTATCAGACAAAGCCTCCTTGAGGTCTCAGGTCTTCCAGGGCAACATGAGAAACACTTCCAAGCCTCAGCTGCCAGGTGTTCACCTTCCCCCTCTGAGGTGGGGAGACGGGCAAACTGAGGACATGTGTCCCAGACCCAGGCCAAGGCTCTTCTCCAACAGTTTGAAGCAAACTTGGCCTTGGGATTCCAAGGGTAGGACAAAGGGCGTCGCAGCGGGGAAGGGGCCTGGAGTGAGGCAACAGCAAGCAGAGCGAGGACACAACAGTGGCAGCAGTGTAGACACAGGACGTCAGCTTCAAACGATGCAACAGCAGGGATATTTCGGGCATGGCTCTCATTCGAGCCACCCCCAACTCTCTTGCCTCCAAGGCAGGAGGCACTGTACATGCAACTCAGTCCAGAGGAAGATTCTAGTCGATCCAGCCCAGGCACATCCAGAGAAGGTGGGAGCTCTGAGTTGGCTCCACCGAGGAAAACAGGCATTTGGGTATTTCAGTTTCCCGCTCCACAATAAGGCAACTTTTAAAAAAATATTATTTCCAAGAACAAAATAAAACAAACAAAACAAATTCCAAGGGTAGGAGAAAAACATCGCTTGCTGTGGATTAGGTGGGGGTTTTCTGATTTTCTTTTTTTGGTCTTTTATGGTTGGTTTTGTCTTTTTTTTTTTTTTTTTTTTTACTGCCTCAAAATCCATAATACTGCAGGGTGATTTTCATTATGTTGTAAGCACATGACCCCCAAGGGATTTCCTGAACTATTTGTTGACATGTTGTTTTAGAACTATTGTGGGTGCTCGGGTGTCATTCAAGATGTCATTGAGACC